TTTTTTTTATTGGTCTTATGGAGTATTCTAATTTGTTGAGATAGTGAGTTGGTGGGTTTTTGTTAAATGTGAGCCAAAATCATCACAATTAAAAGAACCAAAGACTTAAACTACTGCAGTCTGTGTGCATTGAATTTATTTAATACACGAGTTTCACAATTTGAGTTGAATTACTGAAATAAATGAACTTTTCCACGACATTCTAATTTATTGAGATGCACCTGTATGTGTTTCCAGAGCTAAAAGTAAAAAGTACATAAGATGGGGCTAAGTTCGGTTTTATTTAGTGCAGACATACGTATTCTGAATATTTTGCTAGAGCATATTATTTATATTATTTAATATGAGAATTCATAAACTCATATCTGTCACATTATATTATGAATTGACAACAATACTTAAAAATACCTGATTAACCACCGTTGGTTAATCGGTCTTTGTCAGTCACGTGCGTTTATTATGTGTGACGTCACCGAGGCGCCATTTTGAAGGTATCGTTGCATTGAGCAGTGAGCTAAAAGTGTACAGAGCCCTGCAGTAAAGACCGATTAAATCGTCATACTTGAGAAACAGATGCAAACCAAGTAGATACGGTCATGGTAACGTTACATGACCCGTTTCTGCTCACCTGCTCCCTGGTTGTCTGTTTAATAGCATTGACCCTAAATAACATGTGAATATAATGTTGGCTACTTCAGAAAACAGAAAATAAGCACATCTAAAAAAATCTCTTACCTTTATGAAAATGTCGAGGGTAAACGAACATAACCGGAGATATGTTGGCAAATATGATGATTTTGCATATCACAGCTGCAAGCCAGGCCATCTGATGCCGTGAGGCCTCTTGTTGTTTAGTCTTTTTTTCAAGTGTGAGACCTAAAATATCTTTCTTCGTGGTGAGTTTTTGACCTTTTCTATCATGTAATTCACTATTGCAGACTTTAACACAACAAGAACGTACCATTTTAAATCAAATGAAAAAGACAATTCTCCAACTACAGAACACCTCGGCTTTGATACCTTACAAATGGCGGCGATACCCAAAATGCACTTCGATTCTCGTGAGTGTGACGTCACCTGACAAAGACCGATTGCAAGTATACTAGCATGGACAACAAAGCAGCAACAATAAATATGTTTGTCGTCCAAACAATGTGTCTTTGTTGTCCATGCTAGTATACTTGCAAATCGGTTTCTTATATTAAAAGACAATATTTTATTCCTACGTACAACAATTGACCAAAACACATTCGGATGCACTACAGCTCTATCCGAAGAAATCCT